CAGTTCGAAAATGCGATTGATAAAAATCCGAATTTATCAAAAATAGAAAAATTAATTTACTTAAAAAGCTTTCTTGGTGGCTAAGCCGCCAAAGCTATTTCTGGTTTCGCTCTCATCGAAAATAATTACGAAGCTGCTCTTGAACTGTTACGTTCCAGATTTGGTCAAAAGAACATCTTAATTAATTCGCATTTAGGACAACTCTTAAGTACTTCCCCTGTTAGAAATCCTAATGATATAAACGGATTAAGAAAACTTTTAGATCACGCCGAAGTACAGATAAGAAATCTTGAAGCATTAAAAATAGACTCTGATACCTACGGAAATCTCTTAACGCCTTTAATTTTGAAATTACTTCCTAATGAATTCGTTCTTGATTATAGCCGAAAAATTAAAGACGAAAATTGGGATTTAAAAGGTTTGTTAGCCTTTTTGAGGAACGAAGTATTCAGCAGAGAACGCGCAGCTTCTGTTAATTATAACTCTAGCTAGAAAAATATTCGCGATTGGAAAAGCATCTGCCCTTCAAACCTAAACATTCTCCAGCCATAACGAGCAAGCCGTCTACAGTTGAGTTATTAGCTTTTACTGTTAAACAATATAATCTAATATGCAAAGTAACATAGCCGAATCGCAGTGTCTGTTCTGCGGGAACACAAATCATAAATCTGCGGATTGCGAAATTTAAGTGTAGAAAACGAAAAAAGAGATCTTGAAAATGTGAATCGCGGTGTTTTTATGTTTGGGTCGGTTTCAAAAGCATTGATTCAAAATTGTATAAACAAAAAGTAAACTGTGCCTTCTGCTTTAATAAACACTCGAAAGCCATTTGTTATTCATTCCATCAGAAAAAAGATAATGAAAAACCTGAAAAGAAAACGTCGGATTCGAGCGTTATTTCCGCTGTTTCGTCATATAATTCCGATGAAAATAGATCTAATTAAATATTATTACAAACGGCTTCTGCATTGATCCGAAATAATGATAAATCTGAAAATGTCAGAATTCTTTTTGATAATGGCTCAATGAGATCTTTCATAACTAAAGATGTATCTACTAAAATGGAACTTCCGATTGTTAGAATTAGAACCACCTTTCGCAATATGGCAAATTAGGAAATAAAGGAATACGTTTAATTGATACCCAAGGGAATCCAGGCCCTATTGAAGTACTGTTAGGGGCAGACGTTGCAAGGAAGTTATTTACTGGTAAACGAGAAGAACTAAGGTTTAGTGGCTATAGAAACAAAATTGGGTTGGACTTTGATGGGTAAAGTACCTCAATCCGAACATCAGCACAATGTAAATATGACTATAGTTTCTATGTTATCTCAAGAAGACCTGCCTATTTCATCGTTGTGGGACTTAGAATTATTGGGTATCCGAGATCCTGTTGAACAAAAAACTAAAGAAGAGTCGAGAAGAGCTATTATGGTTCATTTCCAAGAAACAGTTCGTCAATTAGAAAATGGTAGATACGAGGTTGATATGCCTTGGAAGATTGAGCATGCAGTCTTACCTGACAATTATGACCTATCTTTGAAAAGACTCGAATCTACTACGAAGAAGTTGGAAAAAATCGGATATCGTGAAAAGTATCATGAAGTCTTTAATGAATGGCTGCAGGAAGGAGTGATTGAAGAAGTTCCCCAAAAGGAGTTGTCTTTACCCGTTGTTTCATTACCTCCCACATCGTCCAGTCATTAAGGAAACGTCCTCACTATCTTCCATGAAAATTAGACCCGTTTTTGATGCTTCGGCAAAGCTTCCTAATCAGCCATCTCTAAATGATTGCTTAGAGACTGGAATTAATTTGATTGAAACTATTCCGTCTATTCTAGCATAGATTTCGCTTACATGAAATTGGTGTGATTTCAGACATCAGAAGAGCTTTTTTACAGATATCTCTAAATGAAAGAGATCGAGATTTTTTACGATTTCTTTGGTATGGTGATGATGGTAGAGTGAAGACATTTCGTCACACACCCGTGTGGTATTTGGCATTACTTGTAGTCCATTTTTGCTGATGGCGGTTATTGGCCATCATTTATCCAAAGAAATGTGGAAAAAAATATTCTGAAGAATTTCTTAAAAAAAATTACAAGATAGTTTTTTATGTCGATAATTGCGTAACTAGTGTACAAAATAATGCCGAACTAGAAATATTTATCGAATCTGCAACTAATGTAATGAAAGAAGGAATGTTTGATCTCAGAGGATGGGAAAGTTCTGGCATTCCTGCATTTTCAGAAAGTAAAACATCACCGGTATTAAGACTGGTTTGGGACAAAGATTTAGATACCTTAGAAATAGACACCGAATTTTTGAAATTTGATGAAAGAGAAAAGGTAACTAAAAGGAAAATACTTTCACTAGTTAGTCGAGTATTTGATCCCATAGGTTTCCTTGCACCTGTTATGATTCAGCCTAAGATTTTGCTGCAGGCCGCTTGGAAGAGCAAAGAATCATGGGATGATGAAGTGAATGATGAAATAAAGAAAGCATTTTTAAAATGGGGAAAACAACTGAAATACTTCAAAAATATAAAAATTCCAAGATGGTTAGGTGTGATGAAGGAATCCAATTTAAGTATCCATACTTTTGTCGATGCCAGTAAGACAGCTTATGCGGCATGCATTTTCTTAAGAAGTGAATCCAGTATGGGTTTTGTGACTGTTCAATTACTTCAAGCCAAATCACGAATAACTCCAACGAAGACTATTACTATTACTATACCACGTCTTGAATTAATGGCCTGCTACCATAGGTGCTAGGCTGTTTAGTTCTGTGAAGCAAGCTCTAAAACTTCCCAACATCAAGACTTACTTTTGGACAGATTCTTCCACAGTTCTTGTGTGGATAACTCGTCGAGAACAGTGGTCGGTATTCCTTACCAACAGAATAAGTGAAATTAGAAAATTGACAATTTCGGAAGATTGGTTCCATATTTCAACTGACCAGAATCCAGCAGACATTTTGTCAAGAGTTTGTGGACCTAGGCAACTTCAGAAACGCAAGTGTGGCAAGGGCCAGCCTTAACTACTGCTAACAGCCCTCAAACTAATAATAAAGTTAACTAGTTAATCAAACAATTATAACTAGGCTAAAATGTAAGTTAAATTCTTATCAGGGTAATACTACATGGACAAAATTGGGTACTTTTGCGTTTCGCCGGCGCAAATCTCGCCGAGCAGACTTTGTTGGCGACAGCATACAGTATACACATAAAAAATGTTAACAAATGTTAGTTTTAAGAATTTTTTATTTTGAAGGCATAAACATTTTAATATGGTTTAAAATTTTGTAAACAGCCAGTAAATAAAGACAATAAATTTGTAAAAAGACATTAATTTAAGAATTTATTATGCTTTCATGGTTCAACATCCTATATCGCCGGTTCTTATCACGTGACCCCAAGTGATCTCATCTCACGTAAACTAGGCTACAAAAATCTAATTCTCTCAGTAATTATCTGCATTAATTTCAAGTTAAATCTTAATTTGGAATACAAGTTTAAATGCAAGAACTATTTCAATTCGTACCAATAGCTCACTCAGAAATTATCTAAAACCGCAGTGCTTTACTTCGCTAGTGCATTCTCATTAGAATGTATGAATTTAACCCTTGATTTTGCCTTTTCTATATTTTCGCCTTCCGGTGAGAGGTGTGATTGCATTCTAATTGACTTAATTACCGCGAATGGTCTTAGGGCATAACATTTAACTATCTTCTTGTAAAAATTCTATCTAATTGTATGCCAGTATTGAAACAATCAATCTGATAAGAAATGGGTGCGACTTGTTTTGAAAATGAAGCGTAAAAGGTTACCAGCGAAGATATTCCGTTCGGCATCAGTTGTACCATTATTGGTGACTTTATCGTTTGCGCCGGCAAAACGGTAAAGTACCCGTAATTGTTACTTCAGGTTACTGAAGAATATTGTAAGATCCAGCCGTGTCCGGTGGCGTAATTAATAGACTCAGATTCATCTTTTAATTTATTCACACCATCAACGTAAACTATATACACTTTGTACAAATAGAAATATATAAAAAGGTAGGATTGTTAAATTTATAAAGTTACCACACTGAGCATACTGAGCAATCGGCCTCTCTCACCGAAAGCCAGTCTCCAACTTACCGTTTTCCCGCCTAGAGGGCGCTACCTATTTTCAGGGTTACAGTTTCGGAGGACCAGGAACTACACCTTCCCCCTAAGATTGTGGTTGGGCAGGATGTCCAAACACATTCTGATAACAAAGCCTGGTGCTCACAATTCAACATTATAAATACTAATCAACTAAAATATAAAATATTACAACATTTGCATAACAAAAGAGTTAACTCTTACAAGTATACATTTTAAAGAAACGCTTCTAAATGGTTAAGAATGCTACACTTAAATCATCTCATTGCTGTAAGTAACTAATTTCAATAACTTTACAAATATTACTTAGTAAAGATATATCTTATAATAAGTTTTAAAGAAAATAAGGAAATTAAAAATTAATCTAAAGACCAAAATTAAAGTCTTTATGAATTGTCCATAAATGTTTTTGGTCCATAAAAAGACATAAATAAAGAAAAGGATATTCATCCTTCTATCAGTCTGGATAAAGCATCTGCATTACCCCTTTTTACTCCTGGTAGATGCTTCATGTCTATTTCGTATTTTTGTAAAGCAAAAGCCCAACGTTGTAATCTAGATGATTGCGGTGCACATTTTGTCAGGTAAGGTAAAGGATTATGGTCGGTGTAAAGTTCAACTTTGGATCCAAAAATCCAGGTTTCAATTTTTTTCAAACTAAACACAATAGCATATGCTTCTCTTTCTATAGTAGACCACGATTGCTGAGCTCGAGTTAACTTCTGACTTGCATAGGCTATGGGATAATTGCGTTCATTGAAATTTTGTGACAAACATGCTGCAACTCCTATTTGTGAGGCATCACAATGTATAATGAATGATTGCCCCAAAACTGGTGTATATAATGATGGAGCTTTAATCAGAGCATTTTTGAGTTCTTTCGAAAGCAATGTCGTGCTCTTCTTTCCATGGTATTTCTTCAGGTATCTTCTTCTTTGTAAGTTCAGTAAGTGGATATACTAATTCAGAATATTTTGGAATATAGTCCCTATAATAGTTACATAGACCTAATAAACTTCTGAGTTGCTTCTTGGTCTTCGGTTTTGATAATCTGGAAATTGCTTCTATCTTCTCAGGATCGGCTTGATGTTTTCCAGATCCGATTACATGACCCAAATATTTGATTTGCGGTTTGGCAAAATCACATTTGCTGATATTGACTGTAAAGCGAAGCTCTTCCAACTTAGTGAGTATCATATCCAAATGAACCATATGAGATTTCCAGTCCTTTGAAAATATTGCGATGTCATCAATATATGCTCTGGCAAAGTCTTTGTATTCATGGAGTGCTTTATTGATTTCCCTTTGAAATGTTGCTGCTGCAGCGTTTTTCAGACCAAAACTCATAACTTTAAATCTGTACTGTTGTCGATGGGTTTTAAACGAAGTGTAATCACGACTTTCAGGATCCATAGGAATAGCCCAATAACCTCGTAGTAAATCCAGTGTTGATATTATATTAGCTTGTCCTATTGAATGTATAAGTTCTGAAGCATTTTGCATAGGAAAATCATCAGTAATTGTCACAGAATTCAATGCACGATAATCAACACACAATCGAATTCCACCGTCTTTCTTGTTCACACAAACTATAGGATATGCAATTTCTGCACTGCTTTCTTCTATTAAATCAAGTTCTAACAGCTCTTCAATTTGTTCATCAACTTTGGATTTTAAAGTTTCAGGAATCCGGTAGATATGTGGCTTTTTCCTTTCTTGATTGGGTTTTAATTTTATTTTGTGAAAACCCACCTTTGCAATTTTCACTTTACCTGTAAATAACGATTCGTGCTTTCTTATGAGTTGCTTAATTTGCTGCTGTTGGTCACCCGTTAAATGTTCAAGTTGCAATTTTTGGAGAACAACTTCCATATCTTGAGAAGAAGCTTGCGGAGTTGGATGAATCTCTCCAAATTCTTCTTCGTTTTCGAAAATAACCCCCACAGCATTTACTCTAGCTATATACTTTCTGATTTTATTCACGTGAACATGTTTTACTTTCCCATCTGAAAGTTTGACTTTATATGAATGAGGTGGACAGTATTTTATAATCTTCCCTGGACCAGTCCATCTTGCATAAAGTTTATTGGACGAATCGGGAATAAGCAAATAAACTTTGTCTCCTACTTTGAATTCTTTAGGTATAGCTCGACGATTAAAGTAATTCGAATAAGCTGCCTGTTTCTCAGATGCTATCAAGGATGCTTGATCAGCTGCTCGTTCTAAGTTTATTTTCATTTCTTGTAAATAATCAACAACTGATTGCTTCATATTTAAGGGTATCGGTATTTCACCACTCCAACTAGATTTCAAAACACTCAGTGGACCACGTATCTCTCGACCATACATTAACTTGAACGGAGAAACCCCTGTAGTAGAATTGGGAACCTCGCGATAAGCAAAGAGCAAATATGGTAGATACTTATCCCAATTAGATGGATCCATACGGATGATGTGATGTAGAGCGTTTTTCAAAACTCGGTTGTACCTCTCGACAAGTCCATTACTAGCTGGATATCCTGGAACTGAAAATCTAGGATGACATCCAAGACGCTTCATAAATTCTTGTGTCAGTTGAGAAATAAAGTTAGTTCCTTGGTCACTTGCTATAATTTTCGGAATACCAGTTCTTGTAAATATTTCCAACAGAGCATCACAAGTAGCTTTTGCCGTTAAAGAACGTAATGGAATGGCTTCTGGCCAACGTGAATGTTGATCCATTAAACATAAAACATATTTATGTTTTCTAGCCGAAGGAGGTTCTATAGGACCTATAATATCGATATTAACAACTTCGAATGGTAAATAAGGTCTTAGAACTGGGGTAATAGGAATTCTATCAGTTATTTTTTCGGTACTTCTTAACTGACATGGTTCGCAAGATAGGCAATATTCGGTAATATCATTATTCATATTGGGCCAGTAGAAATTATATCTGATTCTCTCTTTTGTTTTCTTTATTCCCATGTGAGCCCCGAAAACAGATTCATGTGCTAATTTTAAAACATCTTTTCTTCGACTCTTTGGAAGAACTAACTGCTGAACCGAATCTCCCATTACTTTATCCTTATGAAAAATTATATTATCAAGTTCCATAAAATTTCCTTTCCCCTGTTTTAAATTAATTCTGACTTCTTCTAAAGTCGGGCAAGACATCTGCTCCTCTCGAAATTTTAATACATCATTACGTTGATTATTTTCTAATATCTGTATTGGAGTCGTTACTGAATGCGTGTTGGCATATGAATTATCCCTATTTTTTATTTTAGTTTCTTCATATGGCTGAGGAATGTTTATTTCAGGCGTATTTGACTCCACGTAGTCTAAACATTTATTCGTTTCGCTTTCCAAATTCATTTCCCCCGTTAAATTTGTTTCCCCCTTCAAACCGCATCCGTCGCGCAAGAGTTCAAAGGTTTGTATGGGTAATAAACAATCTACGTTCAAGCGATCTGTTACCGCCGCCAAAATGTCTACCGGGTAGCTTAATAAATCAGAATCCTCATCTTTCAGTGACATAAATAATTTTATTAATTTCGCTTCTATTTCTTCGCCAAATGCAGATATTAACTTAATTTTTCCATTATCTTGATCGGTTGACGGTACAATATTACTGTTTAATACCGGAATTTGTGTACCTGAATCGATAATAGCATCAATTTCTTTATTTTCACATATTGCAAAGGCTGAACTTCGACTTGTTTCTTCTCGAGGTATTCTGTATTAATCTGGGCCACAACCGCATCACTTTTCTGTGATTTATTACTTTCGGAAGTAGTTTTATTTTGATTTTCGCGTTTAAATTTTTTCTGACATATATATTATATATATTTCAAATATATGTTGGAAAGATCCACAAATATAACAGTCCTTTTTAAATTTAGTAATTTTGGGCAAACCATCCGGTTTTCGCATAGGAGGGGGTACATAGCGGGTACTTTTGGTTTCAATATTCGGTGTTTTCTGAGAACAACTACCGATATCATTTAAAGATTTTCTTTTACAAGCGAAGAACGTGCCACATTCCTTTCCGATTTTCGCGGGTTTTAACCAAGTATCGCCTTGTTTTACATTTATATGCATGGCTGTCTCATGATCAAGAGTTTGCATTAATTTATCGGCTACAATTAATTCATGGACTGTATTTAAATCATTTCGCATTCCTTAAAGTGCAATAGTATTTCCACTGTGTCATTAACCAGGCTGCAAATTGTGCATGTGTGTTTCCCCTGACTGACGTTTAGCCTTTCGAAACATATCCAAACATGCTTGAGCAGTTGGCTGGTATTCTTTTAAGATTTTATTCTTAACTGCTTCGTAATTTTTGACATCATCTTCACTAACATAAATCAAAGCGTTTGTTGCATTTTCACCTAAAAGATTTATCAAAATTTCGGCTTTGTATTCTTCTGGTACATTTTTAATCTTAAATGCTCTTTCTAGCGAAGAGAAATAAAGTGTCCATGATTCCGGACGAGTCGGAACGGATATCGTTAAAGTTTTTATGCTTTTAATTAAACTTTCTAACGATGTGTTATCCGAAAGATTAAAATTAGATGAAGCTCTAAGTTTTGCGATTTCTAGTTCATGTTCTTTCTCTAATTTAAACTTTTCTAGCTTCAACCTTTCAGCTTCCAATTCTTCAGTGGATTTCCTATCGTCAATTATGGATATTAACATAGATTTAACGAATTCAGGATCAGGTAATCATTACTGTTAGTAATTTTATCTTTCAGTTCTGTGAGTTTAAGACTTTCATCAGCATCTTGACCTAGTTCTGATCTAGCCAATAAAACTAAATCTTGTTTCTTGAGACCTTTAACCGAGAACATTTTGCGACTTTCTTATAACGTCGTAATACAGCTCTAATTAGTTCAAACTATTATAGTAACTTATAATTTATCTCATTATACAGTTTACGTAACTAAAATTTAGAGTCACTTTAAAATAATAGGTAAGCATAAATCCTTACCTTTCCTCCGTTGAAGCATTAGTTTCGATTCTAATCGTGTCGTACTGTGACAGTGTAAGATCCAGCCGTGTCCGGTGGCGTAATTAATAGACTCAGATTTATCTTTTAATTTATTCACACCATCAACGTAAACTATATACACTTTGTACAAATAGAAATATATAAAAGGGTAGGATTGTTAGTTAAATTTATAAAGTTACCACACTGAGCATACTGAGCAATCGGCCTCTCTCACCGAAAGCCAGTCTCCAACTTACCGTTTTCCCGCCTAGAGGGCGCTACCTATTTTCAGGGTTACAGTTTCGGAGGACCAGGCACTACAAATATAATAATACACCGCATTCTGTAACAAAATGTCCACCATCTTATTTAATGTATGGTAAATTACCTTATGATCCCCTACTTGAAAATCAAGCATTTGAAGAAGTTATAAAAATTGCACAAAAAAAGTCTGATGATTATCACAATGTAAATAAAGAAAGACACGACGCCCAGTATAAACCCACTAATTTTAAAATAGGTGATTTAGTAATGTATGAAGAATTTCAATATCTCAATACCCATAAACTTTCTCCTCCTTTTTCAGTCCCTTACAAATTTTAAAACAATATTCTCAAGTTACTTTTGAAATAGATAAGCCTAATCCTTTTACCAAACAGAAATCAGAAATTGTTCACTCAACCAGACTCAGACCTTTTAATTCAGCTAGCGAATTGAAATTAACTGTTAGAAATAGTAGAATCCCTGTTTCTGTGCAAAATTAATTTATTTTAGGTTTCCAAATTCTGCATCAAATTTTTTCCCCCGATTATGGCATTTTAACCTGATAAAAATTTTAAAACCTAATTATGATAATTTTTTTTTTTTTCCTGAGTTTGATCTTTTCCAGTCCGGCTCCTTTCCTGTCCTGCATTTTTTTGTGCACCTGCCTGGTATAAATACTGCTTCGCGAGTCCATTATGCCATCTTTCCTTAACTTCTCCTGCCCTGCAAAATATCTCTGTGCTGCTATGCTTAATCGTCATCATTTGTTCTTTTATTTAAGATAACGTAGTATTGTTTTTAACCCGTGTACATAAAAAATTATTGTATTTAACTAAGACCGAAAAAAGTCTTGTCTACAAAAAATTATTTGATGTGCATGAAAATAAATATGATGAATTTTCGAATTCAGTTTTACCATCTTCGTCTTCATGCCTCTACGTTCAGTTGTTACGACTGTCAGATGTTAAAAGTACCGGAGCGCGTATTAAAATATCACGCATATATAACGTATATATATGTAAGTTTGATCCGGCCGATTGCAAACAAAAAGAGAAGGGCAAAATTACATGTTATAGCAGTTCCATGTATAGAATTTCAAAGTTTTAAGGTTTGTTTTTGAGTTATGCGAGATACATATGTACTTGTATACAGACGTCACAAAAAATCTAAATCAATTTAAAAAAAAAAAAAAAACTCGTTAAAATGGTTTCGAGAGCAGTCAAAATGGATATTTTCGTTGAAATATGATGCCCAAAATTTTTCGTGATCACTATGCCTACTTTACTTCGTGAAAGGAAATAAAAAGAGAATTTTAAGTTCATTAAATTCTTTTTAATGATAACTGAAGGAAAATTAGGTGATATATATATGTAAAATATAAAAAATACGATGGCTTTGCTCTACATGAACAGGCAACCTCTAATTAACTTTCCGAAATTTCAGGATCTCTCCCTAGACCAGTACTTTCGAGAACATTCTGGCATGTTATGTAACCGCTACTATAAATGTAGAAGTTCGCGCCATTTTTAATCAGACCGTTTTCTCCTTCTACTGCTGTAAGACCTTTGCTGCCGTTCTTCCCATCTGTCTTCCTTTGCTTGAACACTAATGATGCATTAAATTTAAACTTAATCCTATTTAGTTCAAATTACAATCGCATTTGTAATCTTGGAGAATCTAAAAGAATAAGGAATTGCCATTTGAATTGAATAAAGATGTGGAATCAAAACAGCTAGCTTGTTCTCTCCTCATCATTAGATGGCAAGCCTCATTCATGTGCCCGACTGCCAAAATACGACATATATATATATATTTCTCTCCGTTTAGCATGTGGGTCTGAGATTAAGAGGACAGTGGGTGACTAAGGAAAAGACACATGTAATAAGGGGGAATTAAAATATGGTGAAACGTCACTTGGGCTCAGAGATATAGACCGGTGCTCATTGCGTCTTAGCCATGATGAATTCATGGACTTGATTGAGAGATCTTCTCTCGGTCAAGTCCATGAATTATAGGACTAATCAAAGGATTAGAAACAACAACTATAATATCTGTTTCTTGCATTAAATTTTTATAACGAATAATTAAAATGATTTTTGATTTTTGGTTGGAAATAAGAATGTTTGAGTCTACAGTATTTCATGGACACTCCAGTGTTGATCCGAATTATGTAAGTGAAGTAATTTTAATGTATTATTTATCTTAAGGATTTAGGGATCAAAATTTTGATTTCGGTTGCAAATAATGAATCGTCAGTATTTCATTCACACTGCATCTTTACTATGACTTTGTATAAGGACTTAACATCTTCATGTTCAGCGACTATTTTTAGCATTTCAAAAGAAATTCCTTGTAAGACATAAACTAGATAAAGAGGAGAGTCTATTTTTGAAAGTTGGTTTCTATTCCGACTAGTTGCAGTAATGTGAAAAGCAAAAGAATGTTCCACTAAAGTCATTGCTATGTGGATGTGAATCTTGGTTTTTTGACGTTCGTTTAGAAATTCTAAGCCACATTAAATCTGTAATGCTGTGCTTATTTTATAAAATAACTAGATTTGCTTAGGAAAATAAAGTACGTTGGGGTAAAATACCGCAATCGCTTTGCTGGTTTTTCACAAATTATGCAAAGCTACAGTGTTGGTAAGCCACAAATGGTACCATTAATTCCTAAACGACATATTTGCAAAACAGCCTTCCGATTGAATATCGAATACCTTTCTGAAATCTTTGGAGGTTCTTGAAGAAAAGGTAAGAAAACAATGATTTGAAAAAAAAAAAAAAAAAAGATTTATAGAACGACAAATTTCTATTAAGGAAGT